CTTATCCCTGTGGCTCTTCAATCCAGTGTAGATATTCTGTCCCAGCAGGAGGAAGAGCAGGGATCTGGGTCAGGTGCAAGAGAAGGAGGGTAGGCTTATTGAGCCTGATTACAGCATCTAGCACATGCTCTTTTGCTGCCAGCGCCTTTCAGTCATTTCTCCCAAAGACAAACATTCTGATCTTCCTGGGCACGGCCTCCTCTTCACAGAGTTTAGAGTCCTTCCAGGCTCGCATGTTTTCATAACCTGTAATAAAACACCTATGTGGTCATTGAGCCTAAAGGTTTAGCTCATAAAATCAACACCACATCAAGCACACCAAACCTGTGTCTCAGTCTAGAATCCCTTCTGCACATGGAGAGTGTGGAGGTTATTGGTCCAGAGGGGTGACCGAGGTGGACATACTTTAGGTCTTCCTGTGAGGCTTACATCTACAGCCTTGAGTGCTACAAACAAATGTAGACCTAAGGTATATGGACAATAAAGTAGAAGTGCTTTGTTGAAGTCACACCTCTGTACCTGCTTTAGGATTTTCTATTCAGAACAGGTCTGTTAGGACACTAACTGGGGTTTAAATCATGAGACAAATATTATACTTAAAACATAGTTAAAAAGTAATCAAGGGCTTGGGTGCCAGGATATTGCTTTCTATTGAGAGAGAGAAATGATTTAATCATTCTGGAAAGATGCATATCGAGACTTGATGTCCTGCATGATATTTTCATGTAGTGACCTATTAATATTTAGCTATTGCTGTGATGATTGCTCTCCATTCAGATGCTTCTTTCCTCAAGATACAATTAAAAGTATCAGAACCTGAGAGATCAAGAGGTCAAATCCATGTCCAGTAGGAAAGACATCACCTCACTGGATTCACATTGGTCGTCATCAGGAGCCTGTGATGTTACAAACGAGGGGCCACCTTAGCCAACATTCACTGAGAATGTGTTTGCTTCTAGGCAACTAAAGAAACAACACAGAATGGAGTACTGGAACTCCACCTTGGGCAGTGGCTTTATATTGATGGGGATTCTGAATGCCAGTGGGTCTCCTGAACTGCTCTGTGCCACAATCACTGTCCTATACATGTTGGCTCTGACCAGCAATGGCCTGCTGCTCTTGGTCATCACAGTGGATTCCCGGCTCCACGTGCCCATGTACTTCCTGCTCGGCCAGCTCTCACTCATGGACCTCCTCTTCACATCTGTTGTCACTCCCAAGGCCCTCGTGGATTTTCTGCACAGTGAATACACGATCTCCTTTGGAGGCTGTGCCCTTCAGATGTTTCTGGTATTGACGCTGGGTAGTGCAGAGGACTTGCTGCTGGCCTTCATGGCCTATGACAGATATGTGGCCATATGTCATCCTCTGAACTACATGGTCTTCATGAGGCCAAGGGTCTGCTGGCTCATGGTGGCCATGGCCTGGATCCTGGCATTTCTGAGTGCTCTAGGCCATACCTTGTATACCATGCACTACCCTTTCTGTAAAGTTCGGAAGATCAGGCACCTGTTCTGTGAGATCCCACCTTTGCTGAAGTTGGCCTGTGCAGATACCTCCCGATATGAACTCTTGGTGTGTGTGACAGCAGTGACTTTCCTTTTGATGCCTCTTTCTGCCATTGTTGCCTCCTATACACTAATCCTGTGTACTGTGCTTCACATGCCCGCTAATGAAGGGAAGCAGAAAGCCCTAGTCACCTGCTCCTCCCACCTGACAGTCGTTGGGATGTTCTATGGAACTGCCACATTCATGTATGTCCTGCCCAGTTCCCTCCACAGCCCCAAGCAGGACAACGTCATTTCTCTTTTCTATACGGTTGTCACTCCAGCACTGAACCCCCTTATCTATAGCCTGAGGAATCAGGAGGTCATGGGGGCCTTGAGAAGGGTCCTGGGAAAATATATGTTGCCAACACACTGTACCTTCTAAAGAGGATTCATAGCTTGTCTCTCACCATTTCTTTTCCCGATCAAAAGTTGTACACAACTGGTCTTTATGTGGTACTCTGTTCAAGTAGATACAAACACTTAAAAAATTTATATTTCAATATAGTTGTGAGCATTGACCCCTTAAGCTGTACTTACACGGGACACACCACCCTGACCTTGTAAAAGGAACTAGATGTCCATATTGTAAAAGATACTAGAAGAAGTAAAGCATGAAATGAGTATCATCGACTCACTTCATGGTAGGGCATCATCCTGACATGGTTAGCAAGTAAGTAGACGTGGTTAGGGGACCAAGTTTCAGTTTCAATATCATGCAGCAGTGAGAAACAGCATTAGTTTTAGGGTGACCAAAGTGCAGTAACCTCTAAATAACAGAGGAGGACTGCTCTCTTAGATGATTAAAGTTTGAAATAAATACCCTCATAAGATAAAGTGGCCTTCTTTATTAGGTTTTTCAAGCAATTATTTAGAAATAGTAATAATTTTGTAACTGCATTTGTACTCAAGACTTAAGAAGTAGTCCATATTGAATAGATAAAGATAATACCTATGTTGAGATAGTGAATAATGAAAATAGTGCATTGTTATAGTGTTTAAAAATAAACAAGAGATGAATAATATAGAATGTGAAGGTACCAGATTTGATTCAATATAGACACAGTAACAGAGGCATCTGTTGCATAGAATACTTGAATTAAAAAAATGTGATCTAAAAAATGTGATTTTACATGTGTAAAGATATATTTGAAACATCAAAACAGTTGCAAGAAGCTCATATTCTTTTTTTTATTGGAGTTCTATTTGCCAACATAGAGCATAACACCCAGTGCTTATCCCATCAAGTGCCCGCCTCAGTGCCCGTCGCCCAGTCATCCCCACCACCCACCCACCTCCCTTCCACCACCCCTTGTTCGTTTCCCAGAGTTAGGAGTCTCTCATGTTCTGTCTCCCTCTCTGATATTTCCCACTCATTTTCTCTCCTTTCCCCTTTATTCCCTTTCACTATTTTTTATATTCCCCAAATGAATGAGACCATACAATGTTTGTCCTTCTCTGATTGACTTATTTCTTTCAGCATAATACCCTCCAGGTCCATCCACGTCAAAGCAAATGGTGGGTATTTGTTGTTTCTAATGGCTGAGTAATGCTCCATTGTATACATATGCCACATCTTTTTTTAAAATTTTTATTTTAATTTGTCTCTTTTTTTTATGGTTTTTTTTTATTTTTTTTATAAATTAATTTTTATTGGTGTTCAATTTACCAACATACAGAATAACACCCAGTGCTCATCCCGTCAGGTGTCCCCCTCAGTGCCTGTCACCCAGTCACCCCCACCCCCTGCCCTCCTCCCCTTCCACCACCCCTAGTTCGATTCCCAGAGTTAGGAGTCTTTATGTTCTGTCTCCCTTTCTGATATTTCCCACACATTTCTTCTCCCTTCCCTTATATTCCCTTTCACTATTATTTATATTCCCCAAGTGAATGAGACCATATAATGTTTGTCCTTCTCCGAATGACTTATTTCACTCCGCATAATACCCTCCAGTTCCATCCACATCGAAGCAAATGGTGGGTATTTGTCGTTTCTAATGGCTGAGTAATATTCCATTGTATACATAAACCACATCTTCTTTATCCATTCATCTTTCGATGGACACCGAGGCTATTCCACAGTTTGGCTATTTTGGACATTGCTGCTATAAACATCGGGGTACTGGTGTCCTGGCGTCTCACTGCATTCGTATGTTTGGGGTAAATCCCCAGCAGTGCAATTGCTGGGTCATAGGGCAGTCATATTGGGACTTCATCAAGATAAGAAGCTTTTGCACAGCAAAAGAAACAGTCAAGAAAACTAAAAGACAACCTACAGAATGGGAGAAGATATATGCAAATGACGTATGAGATAAAGGGCTAGTATCCAAGATCTATAAAGAATTTATTAAACTCAACAGCAAAAAAACAAACAATCCAATCATGAAATGGGCAAAAGACATGAACAGAAATCTCACAGTGGAAGACATAGACATGGCCAACAAACACATGAGAAAATGCTCTGCATCACTGGCCATCAGGGAAATACAAATCAAAACCACAATGAGATCCCACCTCACACCAGTGAGAATGGGGAAAATTAACAAGGCAGGAAACCACAAATGTTGGAGAGGATGCGGAGAAAAGGGAACCCTCTTACCCTGTTGGTGGGAATGTGAACTGGTGCAGCCACTCTGGAAAACTGTGTGGAGGTTCCTCAAAGAGGTAAAAATAGATCTGCCCTAAGACCCAGCATTTGCACTGTTGGGGATTTACCCCAAAGATCCAGATGCAATGAGACGCCGGGACACCTGCACCCCGATGTTTCTAGCAGCAATGTCCACAATAGCCAAACTGTGGAAGGAGCCTCGGTGTCCATCGAAAGATGAATGGATAAAGAAGATGTGGTTTATGTATACAATGGAATATTACTCAGCCATTAGAAATGGCAAATACCCACCATTTGCTTCGACGTGGATGGAACTGGAGGGAATGATGCTGAGTGAAATAAGTCAATCAGAGAAGGACAAACATTATATGGTCTTATTCATTTGGGGAATATAAAAAATAGTGAAAGGGAATAAAGGGGAAAGGAGAGAAAATGAGTGGGAAATATCAGAAAGGGAGACAGAACAGGGAAGACTCCTAACTCTGGGAATCGAACTAGGGGTGGTGGAAGGGGAGGAGGGCGGGGGTTGGGGGTGACTGGGTGATGGGCACTGAGGTGGGCACTTGATGGGATGAGCACTGGGTTTTATTCTGTATGTTGGCAAATTGAACTCCAATAAAAAATAAATTTATAAAAAAAGAAAGAAATGGGGTCTTGAAATTGAAGAGGCCTAGGACGAGGGTGGGGGGGTGAGAATAGGTGTTATGGGCCCCCCCTTACAGGGCAACCAGAACTAACCTCCACCCTAGTTACCTACCCTCAGTGTATTCAGCCTCAGCTTCCTCACCAACCCTTATAGAATGCCGTCCAGGTCCAGGTTCCTGGACCACTGCCCCAAGCCACTTTCACTTGAGGGTATAGTAATTTGTGGTCACAAAGAGCATCTTGTTGACCACAGCCATTTGCTGCTTTTGCCATACCTCTATCAGTAGTGGGGTACCTGGCCGACTGTACTCAGAGGGCATATAACCCATGGCCACATTCTTCTTTAGGAAGGGAGAGGGGCAGCCACTGGTCACTGTACCAATCACGGTGCCCTCCATATTCAGGATGGGGCTGTGTACCCACACAGGTGCCCCCTCGCATGTTAACCCCACACGTCTCTGCCGCACCTTGCCCTTCAGCAGGCCAATGATGACCGAGGCTCCAGGGAAGTCCATGGCAGTTTGGTGGCGCTTCCCCAGTGTCCAACTAAGGCTGCCTTCCACAGGCGTGGTGTGCTCATCGATGTCACTCCCATACAGGCAGAGGCCTGCCTCTAGGCGCAGGCTGTCCCGAGCTGCCAGCCCTGCCAGCTTCACCTCTGGGTTTTCCAGCAGAGCTGCAGCCAGGTGGACTGCCGCTGCTGCTGGCACCAAGATTCCCACACCATTCTCTCCTGTGTGGCCATAGTGGGTCACGCTTCAGCCGGACACACCAAACACCTCCATCACAGCACTGGTTATGAAGGGCAATTTCTTCAGGTCATCTGCCACGCCGGCCTGCAACACCTGGGCCGCAGTGGGGCCTTGCAGGGCTAGCAAGGCATTATCCACTACCTCCAGGCTCACATCATTGCCCATGTTTTGAAGCTCCCTGACTTTGCCCTGCATGAGGGCCAAGTCCTTGTCCCAGCAGCAAGCGTTGGACAACACATACAGGTGCCCCTCAGAGGTGCTGGTCACAATCAAGTCATCTTCGATGCCTCCAGCCTCATTGGTAAACTGCGACAGTGTCCCCTGGTTTGGCCTTAGCTCTGCAATATCTCCAACCACTAGACTCTCCATCAGCTTCACCCAATCACAACCAAGTATCTTGGTCTGCACCATGTGAGACACGTCAAAGAATGAGCAGTGCGGGAGTGTATGCAGGTGTGAATCAACGTGACTGTCCCGGTACTGTACAGGCAGACTCCAGCCTGCAAACGCCACCATCTTCCTGCCATGAGCTGGGTGGAAGTCATAAAGCTGGGTGGAAGTCATGTGCCTTCAGAGCACATCCTGCGGGTGGCTGGGTTCAGGTCCACCAGTGTCCTGCCCTCCACCCTTCTCCCTCGCCCACCTCCAAAATCAGCACCATGCTCCAGCACCCTCTACCCAACCTGTGCCCAACTGAGCCTCTTGTTTGTTCTTGAAACATTTGATAGAATTCCCCTGGGAAGCAATCTGGCCCTGGACTTTTGTGTCTTGGGAGGTTTTTGATGACTGCTTCAATTTCCTCCCTGGTTATCGGCCTGTTCAGATTTTCTATTTCTTCCTGTTCCAGTTTTGGTCATTTGGGGTTTTCCAGAAATGCGTCCATTTCTTCTAGATTGCCTAATTTATTGGCGTATAGCTGCTCATAATATGTTTTTAAAAGTGTTTGTATTTCCTTGGTATTGGTGGTGATCTCTCCTTTTTCATTTGTGATTTTATTAATTTGAGTCTTTTCTCTTGGCTTTTAATAAGGCTGGCTAATGGTTTATCTACTTATTAATTCTTTCAGAGACCCAACTCCTGGTTTTGTTGATCTGTTCCACAGTTCTTCTGGTCTCGATTTTGTTCAGTTCTGCTCGAGTCTTTATTAACTCCCTTCTTCTGCTGGGTGTAGGATCTATTTGCTGTGTTTCTCCAGTTCCTTTAGGTGCAAGTTTAGCTTGTGTATTTGAGTTTTTTCCAATTTTTTGAGGGATGCTTGTATTGCGATGTATTTCCCTCTCAGGACTGCTTTTTCTGTATCCCAAAAATTTTGAATGGTTGTATCTTCATTCTCATTAGTTTCCACAAATCTTTTTAATTCTTCCTTAATTTCCTGGTTGGCCCTTTCATCTTTTAGCAGGATGGTCTTTAACCTCCACGTGTTTGAATTTCTTCCAAACTTCTTCTTGTGATTTAGTTCTAGTTTCAAAGCATTATGGTCTGAAAATATGCAGGGGACAATCCCAATCTTTTGGTATCAGTTAACACCTGATTTGTGACCCAGTATGTGGTCTATTCTGGAGAAAGTTCCATGTGCACTTGAGAAGAATGTGTATTCAATTGTGTTTGGATGTAATGTTCTGTAAATATCTGTGAAATCCATCTGGTCCAGTGTATCATTTAAAACTCTTGTTTCTTTGGAGATGTTGTGCTTAGAAGACCTGTCGATTGTAGAAAGCGCTAGATTGAAGTCACGAAGTGTGTTATTATCTAAGTATGTCTTAACTTTGGTCATTAATTGATTGATATACTTGGCAGCTCCCACATTCAGGGCATAAATATTCATGATTGTTAGGTCCTCTTGTTGGATAGACCCTTTAAGTATGATAGAGTGTCCCTCTTCATCTTTTACTGCAGTCTCTGGGATAAACTTTAATTTATCTGATATAAGGATGGCTACCCCTGCTTTCTTTTGAGGACCATTTGAATGGTAAATGGTTCTCCAACCCTTGATTTTCAGGCTGTAGGTGTCCTTAGGTGTAAAATGAGTCTCTTGTAGACAGCAAATAGATGGGCCCTGCTTTTTTATCCAGTTTGACACCCTGTGCCTTTTGATGGGGTCATTAAGCCCATTCACGTTCAGAGTTACTATGGAAATATATGAGTTTAGTGTCATCATGATATCTATTCAGTCCCTGTTTTTGTGGATTGTTTCATTGGACTTCCTCTTTCTTTTACAGAGTCCTCCTTAATATTTCTTGTAGGGCCGGTTTGGTGGTCACATATTCTTTCAGTTTCTGCCTATCTTGGAAGCTATTTACCTCTCCTTCTATTCTGAATGAAAGCCTTGCTGGATAGAGTATTCTTGGCTGCAGGTTCTTCTCATTTAGGACCCTATATATATACTGCCAGCCCTTTCTGGCCTGCCAGGTCTCTATGGAGAGGTCTGCTGTCATCCTAATGCATCTCCCCATAAAAGTTAGGAATTTCTTGTCTCTTGCTGCTTTAAGGATCTTCTCATTTTTCAATTTGCAAGTTTCACTATTAAATGTCAAGGTGTTGAGTGGTTTTTATTGATTTTAGTGGGAGGGGGGGATCTCTGTACCTCTGGACCTGAATGTCTTGTTCCCTTCCCAAGTTAGGGAAATTCTCAGCTATTATTAGTTCAAAAACACTTTCTGGTTCTCTGTCCCTTTCCGTGCCCTCTGGAACCCCAATTAAATGTAGATTTTTCCTTCTGAGACTGTCATTTATTTCCCTTAACCTTTCCTCATGGTCTTTTAATTGCTTTTTTCTTTTTTCCTCAACTTCCTTCCTTGCCATGAACTTGTCTTCTATGTCACTCACTCTTTCTTCCACCTCATTAACTACTGTCTTTAGGACCTCCAGTTTGTATTGCATCTCATTTAATTGATTTTTAATTTCGGCCTGATTAGATCTAAATTCTGCAGTCATGAAGTCTCTTGAATCTTTTATGCTCTTTTCCAGAACCACCAGTAGCTTTACAATTGTGCTTCTGAATTGGCTTTCTGACATCGAATTGTAATCCAAATTCTGTAACTCTGTGGCAGAGAGTACTGTTTCTGATTCTTTCTTTTGTGGTAAGTTCTTCTTTCTAGTCATTTTGCTCAGTGCAGAGTGGCTAAAAACAAGCTGTACTGGAAAAAGGAAGAAAGGAAAGAAAAAGCAAAGAGAAAACAAAAACAAAAACAAAACAAGGATGGGTGTCCTCTGGTTCTATATACTGTAAGTCCCTCAACTTCCCCTGGAGCTTTCCAGGGCTGCTTGGTTAAGAACTTGCTCTTCCCCTGTCCGTCCAGCTGGTCCTCTGGGGGAGGGGCCTGCTGTACTGACTCTCAGGTGTGTTCACCTGGGGGAGCTGCCCCCCCCCACCCACACCGGGTGCCTGGCTCAGCGGGAGCTGTTTACCCCATGAGGCCTCTGTTCCCTGGTGCCCCCCGATCCGTCCCAGGCACAGGGTGACACCAGGAGGGACACCACCACTGGCAGTGGCCAGCTCTCCGCCCTGAAGTCAGCTCCCCCAGTAAGCACCCAGAGTGTCCCAGTCCACACTGGCCTGGATGCTCTGAGACTGAGGGTGGGGGTGGGGCTCCGATCTGCACAGCTTGGGGGCACCCAGTGGCAGGAACGACCTCACTGTCCTGTGCCCTCCCTGCTTCCATCTACCCCTGGGGGATCACCGGATCTTGGTCTGTGCCCTGCACCCTGGGATCCAGGGCCTGAGCTCCTGGAATCACGCTCCCGGGCCCGCGGCTCCCGAAGGCAGCAGGGTGCAGCCCCCTCCCGGAGCCCCCGCCTGAGCTGCTCCCGAGGCCCCGCCGGGCGCTCCAGCCCTTTACCCGCTGGGCCCGCGGTGTGGGGCGCTCTCCTCTGGGGCGCGCTTCCTCTGTTGGTGACCCCGGGGACCTGGGGGCCCCACTGCCCCTCCTGCGGTTCTGCCCGAGTTCCCTGCGAGCGCCTTTCCCTCCGGGAAGAATCCAGTGTGGATTTTTAAAGTTCCTGCTTCTCCAGGGCGGGGCTGTCCTGTCCTGGAGGCCCTCGCCACCGGCCTTAGCCCGGCTCCTGGCGGGGGCCCCTCCGCCACAGGATTCTTTTTTATTTTATTTTATTTCCCATCTTCCTACCTTGTTAGAAGACCAAACTCTTCTCACTGTAGCGTTCCAGCTGCTCTCTCTTTAAATCTCAGGCCAAATTCGAAGGTTTTTCAGGATGATTTGAAAATTATCTAGGTAAGTTGGTGGGCACAGGTGACTTGGGGACCCTAATACTCTGCTATCTTGCCCTCTAAATGAACAGTTTTGGCCAATTTAGTAAACATCAAAGAGATGTAGCAGATATTTTCCTTATAGTACTTATTTTATCCTAATGATTTTTGTAGCCCTTTAGAGGTGAAGATTATGAACAATTTGATAGTAATGTGTGTGTTAACCTTGTATTCAGTTTCCTTTTAAAAACCTGACAGGACTTGTTGGCTAGGGAAGTGTTTACACAGTTGGTGTAAATCCATCTTTTTCCTTTGTATTCTTCAGAAGATCATATCCTTATAATTGTCATTCTTAATTCAGAATATATTTACATATATTTCTTTTAGTTTTCCTTAATAATTTCATAAGTGATATTTAAGTTTTCAATTTTTGTGCAAATTATTTTGGTACATGAAGTATGGTGAGGCTTTAAGTTAATTGTGCTTCCAAATAGCTGATTTTCCTATTAACATTCTTAATAATCCTGAAATCTTATTAATTTATTGTTATTATTACTTTTACAATTGTTTGGCTACATAGTATCTTCTTATAACTAGAAAGAGTATCTCTAGGCTAGTTCTCTAGTTGGAGTAGTCTATTAAGACTTTCCTCTAAAAAAAAAAAAACGACATTTCTCTCTCATTTTTCCTCATCAACTTTTTTTTTTTAGTTTTATTATCTATTTAATCTTCCTGGGTAACTTTCGAATCATTAGCTATATGTCCCCAAAATTCCATTGGTATATTCATTGCAACTGTATTTAACTCAAATCGATTGGAGATTTTGACTTTTTTGCAATATAGTCTTACCATGCCATTACATTACCCTAATACAACCTGTGACTCTCTGAAAATACCATTTCAAAACACCTTCACTCTCAGCTTAGGACTTTGTATCATACATCCTTAAGAAAAGAGGAGTCATACAGGAGTTCCTCATCTTTACACTAACAAATTACCAGCACATCTGCACATAGCTTTTAGTTTTTTAAAAAAGCTTGTTTGAGGACAAACATTCCAGTTGTGCTTTTGATACCTAGCTCTCTTACTACTCGAAGAAATTGGTCTTGGAATTACTTGTTCTCCTCTGGATCATCTCCATCTCTATTGGAACATTTGTTATAGGTTACAGACATGCACTAAGGTGCATGCCTACCCCCTAGCCCCTGCATTACAGTTGTGCTTGTCAACAAAGCAAAGGTTTATGACTCAGCTCTTTGACAAAAAAAGTTGATACATTTTATAAAATGGTAAATGTGAATTTTTATATCATTACCTATGAGGACCAATGAGCACGAAAGGGCTTAGAGATTAAACACTA